CAGAATGATGGAATGGGTTGGGTTGCAAGAGACCTTCAAGATCCTCTGGTTCCAAACTCCCTGCCATAGGCAGGGACATCTTCCATTAGAGCAGGTTGCTCAAAGCTCCATCCAGCCTGGCCTTCAACGTTTCCAGGTGCCCTAAGGAGCTCCACCATTCCATGGTTACTGCAGCCAAGGCTTCCCCTGAGCTCCTCATTCCCCACTGGCGTTTCCTTGTTGGGGAGAGCAAAGTTCAGCAGAGCAGCTCTCCTCCCTGGCACCTCTGCCACTTGGAGAAGGAAGTTATTATAGTTATTATTAATGCATTCCAGGAGCTTCCTGGTTTGCCTGTGCCCCACTGTCTTGCCCATCCAGCAAACACTGGGATAGCAGAAATTCCCCATGAGGACCAGGGCTTGTGAGTGTGAACCTGTCTATAAGGATCTCTTCTGCTCAGTCTTCCTGGCCAGCTGGCCTGTAGCAGACCCCACTCTAATGTCCCTACCCTCCCTTTAATCCTGACCCCAAAGCCCTCAGTCAGCTCCTCATCCACAGCCAGGCAGAGATCCATGCACTCCAGCTGGTCACTGACAGAGAGGGAGGCTGCTCCTCCTCCTCCCCATCTCCTCTGCCTGCCCTTCACAAAGATCCTGTGTCCTTCCATCCTAACACTGCAGTCACAGGAGCCTTCCCACCACATCTCCATGATGACAATGAGGTGACAGCCCTGCAGGTCATGCTCTGCTGATTCATCTGTCTCCCCCCTTCCAGATGTTGGTCTCGACTGAATATGCAGATTATGCTTTATTCTGCAACTCCTGATACCCTTTATTGAAGATTTTTCAATTTTAAACCTGATATAGTTTTTCATTTGCTTGCAATGTCCATTGTGAGTTTCTACAAATAGTATAAAATTTAAGAATAAAGGAATTTTCAAGAAATAAAAATCAAGTTAGGTAGAAGTTCTGTGTGGAATAATCTGTATTTGACAATAGTATATTATACATCTCATGCAGAACATTAAAAAAAAAAACACAGTGAGGAGCAATTGGCATGTGGGAAATGGTAATTTCTGAAAGAAAAAAAAATACACAAAGGCATCAGGAACCATCACCCCAGGATACAGGTCAGACAGATTTTTCAGCTAAGAGTCAGTGAATGCATTTCATTTTTGTTCTTGTCAGACTTGCCCTAATGCCATGCTGGACACACCAGCAGTATTTTCAATCCAGTGAAGACTGGAGGGGTGTTAAATGCCAGCAGCAGGGCTGTGCTGCAGGGGAAGGTCAGGCTTGGCACAGAAAGAGGCTGGGCAGCCCCTGCCTGTGTCTCCTGTCCTGCAGAGCTGGCAGCAAGTGCAGGGCAGGGAGTGGCACTGAGGGGACTGCAGGGGTTTGCACAGGGCAAACACAACATTTATTTCTGACATGTTGGAGGCAAGAAATCCTTGAGGACAACGTTGGCCAGGCTCAAGTTCCCTGGGGGAAGACAGAGTCAGAAGGAGATGATCCCTCCCATCCCACTGCCCAAAGTAGCACAGCCCGTCACCAAAGGAGAGACTACACAGGTGGATGGACAGACAGACAGGCAGACAGACAGCCTCCCTCACAGCCTGCATCTGCCTGGGAAGGTGGGGTGCGGGCACCTCAAGGCAGATGAGGGGAATTTCAGTTCCTACAGTATAACAAGTTTCAACAGTCTGGCATTTCCCTACACTTTTTAATTTCACTCTCTGAATGACAGATTGAACTGGACAGACAGAAATTCAGGGACTGGCAGATCTGCTGGAAAAGTTGAGTCCTAGAGAGGATGGAGGATGGTTAAATGCCAATAGCAGAGCTGTCCTGTAGGAACAGAGGTCACCTTGAACCCAACAGGCTGGTCAGGAGATCAAAATGGAAATCTTTTTGGAGACAAATCAGAATGAAACTTCTTTTCCTAGCTCCCTTAAGAAGTTTTGTTTATTAAGCCCTCCCAAAATGTGTCAGCCTATTTATACTCACTGTTGTATGTCCCCCAGGATGTGGCCCATTGGCCAGAATGCTTGCAGGGAAAACTCTGGGGAAAATTAATCTCAAGCTGCAGGGAAACCTGTGGAGCCAGGTTTTGGGCAAGAGACTGAGAGCTCTCTATAGCAGTGGGATTCCAGCACATAAAAATGTCTGTATGCCCAGGCAAACCATACCTTACCCAAACTACTGATTTCAGTCAGTGATCATAGAATGACAGAGAAGACACCACTTGTTTTAAAGAAAAGAGACCATGTGAGATTAGTTTCCCTTCTACTTCCTTCAGAAAAGCAGCTGACAGATACTTTCCAAACTCATTTGAAAAATCACCAAGACTCAATAGCCTCATAGAAAATTGTCCCAGTCTTTCCTTATTCTCCCATGAGATGGCATTTTTGAAAAAAAAAAAGAAAATTAAATACTTCCTCCAGCTATTTCCTCAGTATTTCCATGCATTGTTATGACACAAAGCACAGCCAATGAGAATTAAATTAGTAACTTCATAATTTGAGGTAAGAGCAAGAAAATCTAGGTAAAGTTGCTAATGAAATTTCTTAATCCCAGGACTTCTGAACTTCTCTTCTAATTTATTAAGGCTGTCAGACTTTCTGATATACAGAATTTCAGAGAGAAGTAAGTCTCCAGGAAGAAGGAAAGGTAAGGTGATTTTTTTATGGGAAGCTAATATCAGGAATAAATATAGGGCACCTTCTCCTACTTCTTGAGATAAAACTTTCTGAGAGGCTGAGTAGACTTTGCATTTTCTTAATGGAGACACATATTTTTTTCAATTTAAAATCCTATGCAAGTGAAATACTGTTTTCATTGATGATCACAGAAGGAAATCAATTCAGCATTACACAGTTTGAAATAGATCCCATAAATTGCCTTAGTCCCTGATTGCAGTGCAAGTCTGACAACTCACACAGCTGAGGCTCTGGCTCTGTTTAGAGAGCAGAGAGTGTTCTCACTGCCACTTTATTAGCAGAGCAGGTGAGTTTGCAGTGAAGATAGAACTGAGAGGGATCTGCTGACATCAGATTAATAGAGATATTTCTTTCTTGATAGTATTTGATTTTCAAAGGCTCTTGAGAATTTAGTGTTCAAATCTGTGAGATTCATGATGTATTATACCATACAAGGTCATTGAAGTCACTGACAACTTTATGGGCAATAGCTCTTGCCATCAGATAGCATTCAATATGTGCAAACACAGGCTGAAAACTGCATCCATTTTTGGCTGTAATGTTGAAGGTCCAGTCTCATGAGCTGCTGAGAGCTCAATTTGTCTTACTTGTGCTGAATTAATCATAAAGAAATATAGGAAACATTAGACCTTTGTCTCAGAGAGACTGTCATGGTGACATTAAGGGATTATTAGCATTGAACCACAGGCTGCTGCTGCTGCTGGAGCAGGGACAGGAGCCTGATGCTGTTGGAAGCCAGTCCTGTATCCAGACTCCAGGAGGGAAATACCCTCTGACTTAAGATGTATGGGCAGTGAAAATTGGTGCCAGTATGCCTCACTCATAAAGAAACCTGTACATTTTACAGCCTGAAAATGTGTCAGCAGCCTCTTGGACCTGGGAAGTTGAGCAAAATGGAGACAGAGTCCTTTTCATTCTGCTTCCCATTTTACTACAACTAGTGAAACACCATTGCCTGTCTTGTGGCAGAAGATTACCAAAACTTGGCTCTGAAGAAATGTTTTGTCCCCCAGAAGAACCTCCCCCAGGAAAAATTAAAAAAACTTTTTTATGTGGTGAACAGTGGCACTGCAAGTGTCACTGTACACTACAATTCTCAGTTCAAAGAGGTGCATGCTTTCAGCCCTGCTGTTTCCAAGCTACTAATCCTCACATTATTTAAACTAATACCACAATGGACAAATATAACACTCTAAAAATCCTTTCTTCTGGAGAGGTAATTAAAGCCTCTAGAATAGGGAGTGAGGGAGCAGACAAGCCTGCAAACCACTCCTGGTGAGCAAAATTCAACAAGAACAACATTTGGGTGATGCACAATCATCTTTAGTGGCCCTGCTTCTCTCCAGCTCCACTGTCCAAGGACTTACCTTGAGAAATGTCAAAGCATGCAAAGCCAAAAAAAAAAGCAGCACTCTTTCATTTACTTTTTTTACACCTTGCAAAGGATGGACTTTGAAACATCACCTACTATGCCTATAAAAACATTTGCAGTTCTGTCATGGAATTAAGCTATGAAAAAATGCTGATGTAATGAATATAGCCAGATCTCAGGTGACGTAATTTTTGAAGGATTCTTTCTGGAAGAGATGAAAGGGTTTTTTAAGACTTTCACACAGTTTTGTGGGTTCACTCCAAAACCCTGCACTTGTACCTCCAAGGACAAGGTGTGTTAGCATTGGGGATAGCTGGGCTCAGGGATGGACAGTGGCTGGACAGCCAGAGACTGCTGGAAATTGGTAGGGCTCTAGTAGACAACAGGAAAGAGATGAAAGGATGCAAAATCAAAGCTGATAAAAGATGCACAGTATATTGTATGCATCTGATGTCCGTCACTGAAAGCTTTCATTTTCACATAATAATGGAAGAAAAATATTCACTGCCTCGATTTTCACATTGAGATTGGATAGACAAAGGGAAGAAGCTGCACAGATACTGCACAAATAAATACAGCCCTAAATGCAAGAGAAATCTCTGTGTCTAAGTGTGTGAGTGGACGTGTGCATTTGCACCTACAAACACGTGCCAAGTGAGCTGTTTATGTACTAGAACTTCTCAGGCTGGTGTGAGTCCATGTGGCAATAGATTGTGAGGGACCTGTATCCATGATACCATTCACTGCCTGTGGAAAGGTGTTTCCAATTTCCACTGTCACACAGCAGCCAAATAAACATTGGATATCAATAACATTGGTAGCCACAGAAGACAGTAAATGATGCCTTTGATTGTTTTTTTCTTTGATATAATAAACTTGGAGTAAACAAGCATTTGTTCCTCTATTTTTCCCAGTCTAAGGCAGGCAGACTTATCGGTGCAGGAGGAAGTTCTCCAGGGGCTCAGGCAGGTGCAGCTTGGGGACTGAGCAGAGGCACGAGCGGCCCAGGTGCCTCCTGATACACAACCTGCACAGCTGGGCCAGGCTGGCAGGACCTGGGGGAGGTAAAAGCAAGAATAAGCACCTCAAACCCACCACCAGTACGAGTCAAAGCAGCAAACACCAGCAAGATTTGCAACTCAGACCAAGCACTACATAATGACTGGCTGAGGTCAGGGAGAGTTAGATACATTATTGTTTGTATTACAGTTTTGTTGTCAGAGTTGGTTCAGCAACTCTTAAAAGTTTGAAAGCTGTGAGCACCAAACTCCTTGTTCTGTATGCACAGCTAGGCTGTTTGGCATCTTTTTTTGAGCAAACACCTAAAAAAGTGTCTGTGCTGGAGAAAGAGCTCTGGAATGCATAGCCCTGCTCAGGATATAAGACAACTCCCAGCAGTTTTGTGAGGATAAAGGATAAGTACAGTTCATTGTTCATATATACAGAACATGCTTTTTCCATCTACTGGTGTCTCAGCAGGTATCTGCACAAGTAGTATCTGCAACTGTGCCTTTTTACATGACCACAGTCTCAGAATATTTGTGTTTGTCAGTCAGTCCGCCAGTGCCCCTCAAAACATTTCTTTCTGTGACATCTAATTTTAGCTAAATCTGACTGAAGGGAAGGAACCTTTTGAAGAAAGGTCTCAAAGACAGAAAGTTTTACCTTTTTTTTTTTTTTCCAAAAAGACATTGAGAAAAAAAACTAAAAGAAAGAAATGAAGAAAGAAAGAAAAAAAAGAAGAAGCAACAATAAAAAACCAGGATGAGAAGATGGGAAATCTTTTTGCCCTTCCCTTGCTGCATGTGAGAACTCGTGTTACACATCAGAGGGTGGAGTGGTTGCAAAGCTGTCAGAGGACTCATCCTGGGCAGTGGCTGGCACAGTGCTGCCACAGTGGAGCTGCCCAGGGTTTTCCCTGCAGGGTCACCAGGAGCTGTCCCCACCACAGAGCAGCTGAGGGGCATGCCAGGCACAAACCTACTGGATATGAGGCTCCACTGCTTCTGCAACTACAAGCTTGCACATGCAAATACACCCTGGTGGTGAATGTGTCCCTGCCTCCCCTTCACTTTCCTCCTGCCACAGCTGCTCCAGGTGCAGCCTTTACACCTGCCTGGGGTGCTCAGTTTTTGAGGCCTCTCTTGCCCTTCCATTCCAGTTTCTGTCCAAACAGTAACAATCACTGCAGAGTTTGACAAGTAACAGGTAGAGATGTGGGCTTAAAGGCCTGTCCTTATATCTTACAGGTCAACTTCATAATCTGTGCTTTTACCACAGGAAAATTTAGGAGCTTAAACAGGCTGCTAATATCCCCTCTGAGAAGAAATTAATAGAAAAATGTGGGATATATAAAAAAGAACTTTTGTACTACTGTCGCTGGAAGTGAAGAAAGAAACTACCATCTTCTAAAGCACTTAGGAAAACAGACACATTTTATATTTCACATCACTTAATAGCTAGTGAGAGGAGAAATTAAAGGGACCCATGTAAGTAACCTCAGTGGAGAAGTTAGGGGTAGAGAAACTCTTTAGCCTGGGGTACTTATTTGAAACAGAGGGACCTCAGAAAACAAAGAAGTAGAGGAAAAGAATAGTTGCATGTTAAGCACAGCAAAATATCTGAAAGTGGGACCAAAGGTGAAGAAACTGAGGAAACTTCATGCCTGAAAAACAGAGTCAGCAGGACCTGAAATACCTTTAGAGCCTTTCTGACTGCAAAGGAGAAGAGGGTGACAAGCTGAGCATGGAAATCAAAAGGAAAGTTCAGGAGGAGAAAATTATCAATATTATATTTCTTTATCTACACCAACTCTGATTCACACAGGGCAATGGTAGCAGGACACTTGGCAGCACTGCCTTTGCTGCCACAGTCTGCCACTGAGCTCTGGGCAACTCAGGTGTGGGGACAAAAGTCACACAAGGTGAGAAGCATTCAAACAAAATTCCTCCCAGAAGGTTTTAGACATGACAAACTAAAGCTCTGCATGAAATGTCATGCAGAAAGGGAACAGGACAGAAGGATATTAAGCCAATGTTTTGTTTTCTCCATAAAGCTCACCCGTGTTCAGAGGGTTGGGACAAAGCCTGTGTGCAACACTGACATTTATTAATTTACCATGCAAGAGCTGTTTGGAATTGGGCTTTTTGTGCACATCATGCTTTGGTCCCTGGTGGTTTGTGAGGGAGCACCATTCACCCTCCGAGTCAGAAGAGCCTCAGGGGACACAGACCAGCTGAGAGGGTACCAGTGAGCTGGGAAACACAGAGATTAGAGGAGGGGGAACTAATTCAGCAAACCCAGAGCACAGGGATGTTGCTCTTGGATGCATCAAGTTCTGGCCAAAGGTGATGCAGGTGAAAACAGTGCAAGAGGATCCTGATTTAATTCTGCTCCAGTAAAACTGGCAGGATAATTAATTGCAGGAAGCCTGGAGGTAAACAGCAAAGTGCTGGTCTGATGTTGTTGAGTTAGGGATGGAAGAAAAGACTCTGGGTTTTAGAAGCTGAATTAGAAGGTAATTTGATGGAGGTAGTGGGCTTTTTATAATGTGGCTCACTAAGGTGAGACTCGATTGGTCTCAGAGTAAAAACTTCTCATACTATTGGTGAACTATGAATTGTGCACTTTGGAGAACTATATTTATAAACAACGGGTACAAAAAGAAAAATAATAATGGTTTTCATTTTTTTCTCTAAGTTTCCCAGATAAAAATTGTCTCTGTTCTTTTTTCAACTAAACTGAAAATATCCACACTGGTCTGTTCTGGGATTGCAGCCCCATAAACCACATGGAAGAGCTGTGAAGCTGAAGGGTCACCTGGCAAAGAGCTCTGCTTTCTCCTGGCAGCTGAGGACACACTCATCCATTGAGCCATGGTGCAAGGCTGAACACTGGGTGATGGTACTAAAATATTATCTATTAATAAATTTTCATGGCAGTTTTTAACACCAGGAGTCCCACTAGGTAAATACGTGTGATTTTCCTTCAGTAGATAGGAAAAGAAAGCACAGAATAACTGACTGATTTACCTGCCAAAACCATAACACCAGGTGGCAGATCTAGCAACAAAACAGATTTCTGTGTCATGAGTTGGAGGTTTGAAGGCAGCAGAGAAGGTAAGAGAATGTATGTAGAGCATTACTTATAAAAGCAATTAAGAAAATATACTTAGGTAAAGTATACAAATACTGCTTTACTTAAAAAAAAGGAGAAGAAAGGAAACCATTACCTTCCCGAAGCAGAAGCGCCTGCTCCACTCTGCTGTGAGGTGTGGCAAGATCCAGGGCACATTTGAGGTCAGCATTTCTGCATTTTGGGTCAGCACCATAGTCTGTCAGCAGGACAACTATCTCCACGCTGGATTTCCTCGCTGCCGCGTGCAGGGGGGTGTCCAGTCGCTTCCCCATGTTCACGTTGGCTCCTGGGGTGAGCAAAGCTCCTGGTTGGATCTGGTGGGCACCAGGGACTGTCTGAACCTGTATCACACAGGCTGGTTTCCACCAGGAGCCTCAATAGATGAGGGGGATGGATGGCACACAGGATCTCTCAAGAGCATCTGTGCAAAGCTCAGCAGGTCCAACAGCTGCTCTGGCAGAGCGCTCTGGGCCACCAAACCCTGTCTGCAATGCTCAGGATTGAGCAGCCTGACCTTCAACCCAAAACATGTTCAAAGCCTACCATGTGTGCTTTAAGGTTGTTAATAGCATAAAATCTAATACTGATTATGTTAATTGAATTGCCCCCGAAACCTTTAGGTATCTCATTGTGATAAGTCTGGGAGCACAGCAAGCAAAATGCTTGTCTCAGGCTGGCTGGGCACAGCAGGGCCACACTTTGAGCAGGTGTAAGTCAGATAATGCACACTGACAGCAAAAATTTATGCTAGTTCATAGCCTGTGCCTGGACCTGCAGTGATTACTCTTCCAAGAAGCTTTACTGCTGCTCTCATCATCCACTGAGGAGGAGGTGAAGTTAATGGTTCTGATAAACTGCTACGTTAAGCAAGAGTTGATTTTGGTCAGTAATATCAGCCAGCATTTTCTGTGCTTCCTGTTATTATTCTAGAAAACTAAAAGGATTCTGTTTTCACATTCAGATAGCCTCAGGGAGGTGTCTGTAATTAAGAAGGCTTTTCACTTAGGAAAGCGTAATTTCTTTATCAACACGAGAAATTTTTAATGGCCTCAAATGAGGCCACAACTCTTGTGGAAATGACCCATGATGTTTTAAGTAGAGAGGCAGCTCAGAGAGACCAGCAGCATTGCCTCACACCACCATAGCTCTCCCCCAGCCCCTTTTCCAGGTGTACCTAGCTCCAAAAGCTTCTTGACACATTCTGTTCTCTGGTAGGTGCAGGCCATGTAGAGAAGGCTCCCATGCTGTGGGTCTTCTTCATCAATGTCAACCTCATGGGCCAGGAGGGTCTCCATGCACTCCCTGTGACCTGTGGAGGGAAGAGCTGTCACTGAATTGCTGCAGAGCAGAACACACCCAGGTACAACTGTGAGGCACAAGAGCTGTGGGAAAGCCAAGCCTGTTTGTCTGTACTGACATGGAAAGACTTTTTTTAAAATGCTTAGTGAACGACAAAAGGCTCATTTATCACGTAGTTATTGTTGGCTTTGCTTACAGCCCTCACGCCCAGAACATCACCTCTCTCACCTCTCTTGACTGCTTCGTGGATGGGTGAGGGCAGGTGTGTCCCCAGCTGTGCCTTGGCTCCGGATTCCAGCAGCATGCTGACACAGGCTGCGCTGCCACTGCAGCAGGCGTTGAACAGCGGAGTCACCCCGTCGATGGTGGCTGCATTCACCTGCAGTGGGACACGCTCAGGATAGTCCTGTTTAACAGCAATGCCCGTGCAACACGCCTCCTGGGCACACCAGACCTGCACCACAGCGAGACTTTGCCTTGTTTAATTTCAGGAATTAATTTATTTGCGACTTTCTGAGTTATATGTTGTGACATAACATATAGAGCGTTCTCCTTTCATGTCTGCCCTCTTTCCCAGATAGTTAGTGCCATAAGGCAGAAACCCTGCCTGCTCTGAATGCTCCTGCTGGAGCTGCTAAAAAATGCAATTTTTTATTCTTTCTTTTTTTTTTTAATGTGAAGCAGCTGAGTATCTTCAAGATTGTTTAGTTTGCACCAGCCTCAAGGTGGAACACCCTCAAATGAAAATGGTTTCGCTTTTTAAATGAAAACATTTACTTTCTGTTTAATATTTTCATCTGAAAACACATTTCTAGCAAAAGAAATTTTCGTAGAAACATAATCCCAAACAGAAACAGAGCTTGAAGGAGTTGATATGCATGTGTGTCTATGCAAACCAGAAATTTTCTTCCCCAACTTCTGATGTAAAGACCTGGCAAGAACCACTATTGCCATTCTCCACTGGGACAGCACAGCTGTAGATCACAGAATCACAGAATATGCTGAGTTGGAAGGGATCCATCGGGATCATGGAGCCCAACTCCTGGCCTTGCAGAAGACACTCCAGCAATCACACCATACCCCTGTTTATGCTGTGTTTAACCATGCAGAAAGCCCTCAGTGCTAATTTATGAAGCAAATCTGCACATCTTTAACTCTGTGGCTGGAGAAGAGCAATGGATTATGCAAGCACATGTCAATTTGTAAAATTTCCACCACCCTCACTCCTCCCATCAGGCAGGTGTGGCTGAAGTGCTGGAGGCACTGGAGGTCTCTTGACTGTTTTGGTGCTGCTTGGTTTCTTGCCATATAAATTTTACTTGAAAACCCAGCTGACATAAAAATATCCTTATATATTTCACCCATTCCTTAGTCTCTATTGGGAACATGTACTCTGCCTTAGGTCCAGCTGTGGGAATTTTTATTTTATTAGCAGATAAAATGTTTCATTGCTTCAGGCATATACATTTTTACTTACATGAGACTCCCAAACCTTCCCACAGAAAACCAGATGTAATTCCAGTGATCACTGCTGAGGGGGGAGGGGGAGGGCAAAGCTGTGAGTTACTTTCTTCAAGGTTATTTCACTTAGCATCTTTCATTCGCTTTCCATCAATCTTGACCATGTTTCACACACAAAGGGAAAACAAAAGAGAATAAAGGGATGACACAAGGGGGAGACAAATCTATCACCCAGGGAAACAGAGCACTGTTATGGACAAATCACCCAGGGAAGCAGAACACTGTTATGTTTTTCCACATTTCTGTCTGAGATGTCAGCCTGCATCTTGGCCCTGCCACATGGACAGCACATCCAACATCCCCACTGATGGGGGGAGCACCCGTTCCCAGGTGCCCCTGTCCCCAAAGTCATCCCCAGGACTTACCTGGGCACCATTTTCCAGCAGCACCTTGGCACAGGCCACGTGCCCACCCAGGCAGGCCTCGTGGAGAGCTGACACACGGTCTGTGGTCAGCAGGTTCACGTTGAAGCCCTGCAAAGGGAGCAGGGGGTGAGGGGACAGCCCTGCCCTGCACAGCTCCTGCAGGGAGAGTCGTGGCAGAGCTGTGTGTCAGGGAAAGGGCTCAGGTCACATCGGTGCTGTGCAGTGATTTCTTGTCCCCACAAACCACAGCTGGTGATGGGGTTAGTGGAGGAGCAATCATAAGCAAAGCCTTCTGTTTCTAGCTCTTTATGATGCACTGCCAATTGCAGGAAATGCTTCACATTTCTTTAATTTATAGGAGTGTCATTTCCTTCCCTATTTAAGTCCTGCACCAGGAGCAGGAGGGATTCACCTCCCTGAATGAGGACACTTCTTTGGACAAATGTGTATTTTATGATTGGCTTTTCACAAATATTAAAATGAGTATTATATGTGTTGTGTTAGAAAGTTATGCTGTATCAATTCTCTTGAGCAGAGTGTTAAATATAGTTTTAGGTTATAACAAAATGTTAAAATAGAAACGATGCTATGTAGGATACTTTTTTCTAAAGAAAAGACTCGCACCAAGATAGCAGCCACAGGACACCTAAATCTTTCAGAGAAAAAGAATTTATTGCTCCATTATCAGAAGAAACAAACTTCTTCCCACCTCGTACAGCCAGGACGATGCCGTTAGGATTAAGAGGAAGAAGCTGACGATGACCAGACAGAATCCTGTGTTTGAATGGAATTTATGCATCATGTATGACATCTATGAACATGCAACAGGTTATTGTTTTTAAGGGTTAATCCTCTGTTAACCTATGTCCTTTTCAGGCTCATGCTGCCCAGAAAAAGGTACCAGGACATCCGTAACTCTTTGTCTCTATTGTCTCATATTGTCCTAATTCAAATTGTCCAAATTATTATTACTTTAATTATATTGTTATTTTTATAACCATTTTATTATCATTAAAGTTTTTAAAATTTTAAAAACAAGTGATTGGTGTTTTTCACACTTCTGGCACAGGTATCTGCAGCTCAGCTGGAGCTGGCAGCTCCTTCAGTGGGGAGAAACAGGATTCCCTAGGATAAGCATCCCGTGCTAAAGCAGCTGTTTCCAATAGGGCAGACAAATTGTATCCTAAAAGTTCTTTCATTCACCACATGGGGTACCCAAGGGTGTTTCACTCAGAGGTAATAAGTACCTGGTAAACCTACAAGAGAGATGAGTCAAATCCCACCTACAAATCAGTTCCTCTTATCTGACCATCCTGGAAATGTTTTACACTGGAAGAAGGAACAGTGATTTACAAATCACTGTTGATTTCCTGTTAATCACTGTTGAATGCCTTATTTCAGGTGTTGCCCTAATTAACAGTTGCCATATCTATTCCTGCACAAAGACAAACCTGACATATTCCCAAAGGGAAAGCAGTTGTCACACGTGTTTTCCTCTGAATGCAACTACATCTCCTGGTAATTAGAATTCTACAGCCTGAAAGCAGCTCCATTTTCTGCTTGATGTTATATTTTGAAGCACTGCTGGTGTCTGCCTGACGTGCTATAGTCAGGGCAGCTCACGAGATGGCAGCAATGCACTTTTTGGTACACAGTACCCAATGCAATGGGCAGAAAGGAGTACCTGGGAGTAACCTCACACAGCAAAAAAGGCAGCAGTCCTGACACCGTGAGCATTAAAAGCACTGTAAACACTTCAGGCTAAGCATTACATGATAGAAAAACAATCTTTTTCAGTCATGTGAAAATATTATTAATGTAAAAGTTGTTTGTAAAATTTCTCACGCATTACAGTGGTGCTAGGGGAATAGACAAAACCTTGAAAAAATAGAGATTGTTCCATTTTCTAATTGTGTGGTGGCTTTATACTTTGTGATCAGCATATTCCTTCAAGACTAATTTCTTCTAGAGACTCCTAGTAAGGAGACCTATTCTCAATCATCATTCATATATACATGCATATATATATTTAACAAATAATACTCAGTCATATCAAGTGAAAGAATAAGCACTGATATCTTGGGAAAAACAGCAATTCCTTCCATTACAAAATGAAGTATAAGTTGTAGATCTTACAATGGCTGTTTGCCAATCATCCCTCATGATAAACCTTGTTTTCAATGTACATGAAAAATCAAACTTTTTTCAGGCATTGAAATAGGCATTGGCGAGTTCTTGAGCCATTTGAAAACTCCAGCACTACATCACCTCCCTGTGTCCAGGCATTCCCTGTGCAGCCAGAGCCTCAGTGGCTTTCTTGAAAGCTGTGGTGCTGCAGTAGGGACTTCTGAGTGTCCCACAGACACTCAAGTACAGTCCCATTCTTCATTTCAGGCTGGTATATTAGAAGCAATGAGCAATGATTGTGCTGCTCCATGAACAATTTCATCCCTGCATTTATCAATCTGTGGTGACTCAGCTCCAATTCAGGCTCTACAGACATTGCTGCCTTGATCTCTTCATCAGCAAGGACCTTCATCTTTTATTCCCAAAATTAAATGTCTTCAGGAAAAGGAGAAACAGTGGATTAACTAAATAATATAACCATACTAATGGGTGCTTCCTCAGTGTACAACCATGAACAGTGCATAACCAGGGCATCTGGTGAGCAACCACAACACCGGGTGCTCCACAAAGCAAGTGGTGTAAGGTCAGCATAAATGGAGATAGAGGGGTCAGAAAACCATCAGATCCCTAAATGAATAAAGCTTCTTTCTTTTTATCTCTAACCTCCATTACTTCCTTTTCCATAAAAATAACTTTATGTCAGCAGGTGAAGGAAAGAGGGATCAGAAAATGGGAGGGAAAATACTGTCTGTAAATAGCATCTTGTTTTTAGCTGCAGCTAAATGCCTCAAGAGATGTCTGGAGAGGAGGCTTTCAAACTGGCAGCTCCCCTCCTTGGGGATGTTGTCCATTAGAGATCTGACCTCTGGTAATAATTATTTACCTTGACTATAAAAGTCTGATAGCCAAGTCAAAAGCTTTACATTCAGGGAATTAATTTCCCTGCAGTTGCCTTGAGGGCAAGAGGGAGAGGGGGGCAGTAACCTGTTTGTGCTGAATGGGGACACTGAGTTTAAGCAAAGGTGGGAAGGAAGATGATGAGCAGAGCACAAAGAACCATAAACTCTTTTCATATCCAGCTTCTTTTCCTTCTCATGTATTCTCTACTCCTCTCTTCCTTTTGCCTGACTCTCAGTTCCTTTTGGAGCAGAGGGTTTAGGCTGACTATAAAAGGCAAGATGCCTTTTATAAGGCATACCTTTTACTTTTTGGGTTTTTTCTAATAGCCTACATTTATATATTTATTGTCCTTATTCTCAAGCCTAGTTGCATGGTTCATCATTAAGAAAGAACACAAGGATCATTATTTATTATATAGCAAGCTGCAAGCTGTGATAGTCTTTGTCCCAGGCTTGTCCCCAGCCTCTTAACTGAGCAAACTAAAACATGCCCAGAGGTGTTTGTGCTGATATATTATTCATACAGCCATATTTCTTATGCCCTCTTGCAGTCTATTACCAGCTCACCAGCCCATAAATGCAATTCATGTGAAAGCACCTTGCTTCCCAGCCTTTCCTTTCCCTGTGGGCTTTTACCTGTGCAATCAAGGTTTTCAGAGAGAGAAGGCGTCCCTGGAAGGCAGCATCGTGGAGAGGGGACCGGTCTGCCCAGCTGCCTGAAACAGCAAATGCAGGGAGCTAATTCAGGGATGCAGCAAAAGCACATCCTGGGAGGACAGGGGAAGCACAGCCACATGTAAATGCAGATCAGGACTGAAATCAATGTGGGCTTAGTGGTGAAACTGTTGGATGAATTAATTTCAGCAGAGCAGCTGAGGTATCAGCAATCCTGAGAAAGCTGGCTGCTCACTAAGGAACCTAAACAAAAGCTTCTTGGCAGAACTTTTAGAAGAACAGCTAAAAACATGTTTCAGCAAAGATCACGAGTTTAGTGCTGCTGGGTCTCACATGGAGACTTCAGAACCCTGCAATTCTCCTACTCAAAACCATATTAGCCTCCACCTTTCCTCAGGAGCTCTTGTCACAAATTGCATCCCAGCTTCTCTGACACTTTGTTAAGAGCCTCGTAGCAGGGTTGACTTGTCCATCAAATGAATTCTGACATGTCCTTGGCAGTTTTATTTCCTGAACTGACAATTTCATAAATAACATCCTTCCTCTCAGACTACCATGTAACAGGTTTAATCATTCTCTTCACTGAAATATTTCAGAAAATACATGGAAAAACAAATTCTGCCTGAGGGCTTTACTTTTCTTCTTTAATAATTTTGAGATGCTGAACTGTTCAGACTCCTTCACATAGGCTTGCTTGCCCTTTTTCTTATCCCAATCTATTTATGCCAAGAAAAAATAATTCTTTAGCCTAGCTACTACCTACAGGCATAGACATTCAGCTCAGGTTAAATCCCTGCCACTCAAAAAGTGAGCAAATTTACTTGTCCTATATTAAAATTCATAACCATCCTGTGACACAGTGTGTAGTAAGTGTTTCTCCAAAGGCCAGCTGCATTTCCAGTGCCACAGGACAGAAGCAAAACCAGTGTTTGCATTCATGCTCTGTTGTACAGCAAACCCATGGGCACTGATCTGAAACCCTTGTCCTGTTTAATTTTTTCAGCTATGCCGCACAGCAGAGAGAATGGAAAGGGTGATTTATCTCCATTTCACATGCTACCCAAGGCAGGGAGAAATCAATGAGAGGCATGGACACATCCATGGGGACTTGAGGCCAAGGACACAGCAGAGGTTTTACCCTTAGCCAAAGGAGTCTCCTTTTGTTACCCAAGGACCAGGATGCACTTCAACTATTGGAGTTACAGTTTTAACTGCAGTAATTACTTTTGTTTCCATTTATTTACAGAGCACTTCCTGGGCTCCTAAGGCAGGAAACTGGCATGGAAAGAACTGGCACAATGTATGGCAAGGCTCTGAATGACACATCAGTCAAAATGATGGAAACAGGAACCAAGAAACGCTTTCCTGAAACCCCCCCAAATACCCCACACCTCTCATCATGCTGGTGACTGAAACAGGCAAGCTCGGCTCAGAAAGTCAGGAGACATTGCAAGTGACAAAGCCCAGAGCCCTTATACAGCAGGAGGATTCAGGAGTTACTCAAACAGAGCTCCAGGGCCTTATTTAACCTTTTATGCAGAGTATAGCTCGTGCGAGTGCGTGCTCTCACATGCATTTCCAGGGCATTTCCAATGCATGTGTGTGCACACACAGCCTCAGGACAACACTCACTCTGCACACTCCCACCACAACCTACCTCCCTGAAACGTGTGGCAAATATAGTTCCCATATGGAGCACTTCTCCCCTGCTCAGCTGGGAGTGACATGACTGAAAGTGCTCTTTTCAAATGCCTACAGATAAATTATGCAGCCCTGCTGCTGCTGCTGCTGCGCTACTTCACTGCAAAGAGAAAAGGTTGTGAAGCTCTGGCTGTAATATGATATAGTGCCTCAGCAACAACATCACATGATCTTCTATTTTGTAAGATTATCCTTAATGACTTTCTGCAAATGGCAACTTGCAGATAAAAATGTGTTACAGCCTGCTGAATTTCAAGGCACCTCAATAAGAACTTGAAGGAAAAGCTTGAAGGAAAAACTGCTGCTCACCATGTGTCAGACTATGATTGCATAAAGGTGCTTGGAAAAAAATGACAGTAACAAATGACTGGAATTTTATTCTAGAGAATAAAAAATAAATTAATAACCAAGACATGCCTGTATATATACAGGCTTCATAAAGGCTTTGTCAAAAATGCTTGGCTGCAGTATTTCTCTTGGCCAGATGTTAATCTCCCTGCTTTGGGTGCCCATCCCAAAGAACACCATCTGTGTTCTGATGCCATTCCTGTGCCTGTTCATGATGGCACAATCACAAAGCAAGTGCCCAACAAATGAGTCACACAGAAATGTGTGATGTCACAATGCTGATCAGAATCTGCAGCTAGGAAAATAAGCCCTCATTGACTGTAAATTGAAAATACCATGTCATTTTAATTAGTGGAATTAACAGGAATGCAATCACATGCCAATTCATTATTATGGCAGTGATCTGAAGGACTTAAAGCACTTGAAAAAAACCAAAACCATGACCTGCTAAGTAACCTATTAAATACAATATATTTTTGTGTTGTGTCTTTTTCAGAACAATTTTAGCTGCATTCATTTTTATCATCTGATTTAACAAAACAAGGCTTCTTTGCTTGGATTCATAAAGCCATTAGTTATATCCTCCTAGCATCTCCTTTCAGAAAATCAACATGCTAAAACTTTTCCCTAAATATTCTCTGGTAGTAAAACTGGATGTTTAGTAAAACAGTCTGTAACCACTGATAAAGAACACCTTGTACTGAGAACAGTATTTTTATTTACCATAGTGCATTGACCAAATGTCATCCTCATTCTAGCTGGGTAATTGTTGGAGTCTCATATTTTGCACACCTAAACCATGCCAACAAATAGTGACACTGCAAAGACCCCAGAAATGGGAGGCACTTCAGGTTAAAACATTTACCCCTGCCTTTAGCAAAAATCCCTCATTTCATGGCGACTCGCCGATTTAAATCATCAAGTTACAAAAATGTGGCAAATAAACATTTAAATGTTAGAGTCCATATTTTTACTTTACCTGGGACTATTCCATAGATCTCTTCTGCTATCCTGGCAGCTTCTTTTCTGTTGCCTTTAACAATATAGAAATGGGTCAGCAAAGCCAAGGAAATCTTAATTAAAAGCTTGAAGCAAAACAAAGCAAAAATGGCAAAATAAATGTTAGTGAAAGAATGGAGTATAGAAGTGCCCTCCATTTTGGTTTGCTCTTTGAATAGTTTCTCAGGTTGGCTAAGTTGCACTGGGCTATTCTTGGTATCATATGTCATCTATTTTAAACCCTTCAGGACCTGCTGTTCCTCAGTTACCAAAAATACATCCTGGTTTTATTTGGTATGAGGTGTTTGATGCTAAATAACAATATCAAGGATAAGATATTTTGAACATCTCTGCATACAGGAAACAAATGAGAAAATCCTTTCCAAACCTACATAAATGAGAGTAAGTTTTCAGACAGATGCTCTCCATACCATCTGAAAGCCTATACATCCACATTAGGTTTATTCTTAGAGATAGCAGTTCCATTTACAAAGACTACATGGAGAAAGTTGCAGAAATTGTTCAGATGCTGCAAAGATAATACTTTTCTGTCTTTTCCATCTTGAGGACAGGCCTTGCTGATACTCAGATACAGAACAAAGGCAAACATATCAAAGAAAAGCATTGTCATGAAAGAATTTGAAATAAATTCACATGGCCAAAGCCAGGGCTAGGAAGTCAAAGTTATTCTAGGAGGAGAAAAGTACATTGAAATTGCACAAAAAGAAACACATAACATATCATTTTTTCCCATTACTCAGGGATAAAGAATGGTGTCCATTGAGATCTCTTGCAAACAGCATTGTCTGTTTTGGAAATATTTTCACATTATCCTCCATTGATTCAAAGGTGTAATATTTGAAGTTGAACGAGATGCACCCTTTCTTTACCTGCCCTTTTTTCTTTTTGAAGCACATGGCTTTCCATAGAGAACAAAGGTTTTTTTCTGCATGTATGTATTTGAATCTATGTAGAATACCCCATCTCATTTTATTTAAATTTTTATTTATTCCCATTTTCCTATATGTACCATAGGAGGAGGAGGATTTAAGTCTTACTTGATTCCTCTCTTTGCCCAAATTCTCTTAGCCTTCAATTCCAACATCTGTCAAGGAAAAGAGCAGGATGATTCCTCTCTTAGAGATCCCAAAGAGATGGTGGATATGCACATGGAAATTATACAGCAAATTATTTCTCTGGGCATTTTAGATGTAATTTCTTTTCGTTTATAGCAATACAGCTGGTTTAGTACCTTGCTGTCTTTGGTGCTCAGCCCTCCCAGGTGCACTAAAATGCTGTATAAAATATGTGCAGAGATAAAACACTCCAAGCAATTTTCTCAAGTGAAACAATTTTACTAAAATTCTGAATTAAACCAAGTTATTACATTCTTACATAACTTAACCCCTTACAAAAGTATTACATCTACCTTTCCTTACACAGTAATATTAAATACCTGTAAAAACTATACTTATGAATAATTTTAATCACTTTAATACAGTTTGCCACAGACAGCTGAAGATAGAGATTACAGGACAAGAAAAGTTTCAGCTAAAGAATCACAGAAAAACTAAAATTTTGGTTTATTGGCAGTTAATTCTGCTCAGCTGAGAAACAGAGGAGAAAATAGCAAACAAATGTGGACCAAAAACCAGAATGGTCAGCCCAGAAAAATCTGAGATAATGAAAACATTCCTCCTAGAGCCAGAGGAATAGTAAAAGCTGTAAAGAACAAAATATTGGATGCAGAGAAAAAGAACATATAAAAAATATTAAGACCATTACAAAGTCAAGTCAACCTAAATGACAGAGAAATCTTTCTTGTGTAGGATTCACAAAACTGGCTCTCAACAGGAGACAAGCAAGAAGCAAGAGCACCTTTTAAGAGAAAAAACCAGAAAACCAGGCTTTTGGTTGAGGAAAATAATTGATTTCTTTCTCAATCAGCCTACTAGATGGTATGTAGAATTGTACATGTTCATAAAACTCAGAAAAAATACAAGAAACTGAAAATCAGGTGATTGCCACTGAAATTCTTTATCCCTAATGGAATAATACCAAAGAGCTCTCCAAGTGCTCTGGAAAACCACAGTAAAGTTCGACTGCTTGGAAGCAGTCACTGGAACATGACTCTCCCAGAAGGACTAACTCTTTTTGTGTAGCAGCAAAATCACCCTCCTGGCTGCAGAACAAGACAAATAAAGATTTTCAGTTAAATTATTCAGTGAGTCATTTGAGAAAAACTTGTGTAATCTCCTAATCTGCTCTTAGTGTACAAGAGCACTAGGGAAATTAATGCAGTGGATGTTAAAGAAAATTATCATTGGGAACACAGCTGAACAGCATGGTGGAAAGTATGAGTACTGCTGAGGGTGGTAGCCAGACAACAGCAAGATTGGGTGTGATCACTCAGACATCCCTGGTATTTTTGAAACTAGAGAGATGAGCAACATTGCGTAGGCATGAGAACAGGCAGAACACAAGAGCAATGACAGTGCAGCCACAGGATTGTCATCGCTCTCCCTTGCTCTTTTGAGCATCATTGCTCTGAGCTGAGTGAGGTGCGTTATGCAACTCCATTAATAGACTTGAGTGAACAAGTCAACCCCCTGTAGAAAAAATACACCACACTGATTTATGCAAGATGCCCTAACTATTCTATGAATCACTCTTACTTAACTCTAGGATAATTACTAAATTGTTAAATCAACATATCAAAAAATTTATTAGTCCTTCCAAAAAATTGTCATGGGGAGGTAAATAGAAGTAGTTTGGCTAGATCCTCCAAAAACCATGAAAAGTAATGTTTATATATGCTAGTTTACACACATGCAAGAAATAAGCAGGAAAAAAAAAAGGCAACCCAGCTTAGAAAATAACTTTTTTTCAGTAAGGTTCACCTTAACTTTATCCAACTTCTAGGGAGAAATATCAGACACGACCTAAAGAATTTGGCAAGGAAATAAAGAGATGAGGAATGCTCATCTCAAAGAACTTCAAAGAGGTATTGGTCTATTCTTATGCTACACACACTCTGAATTACAGCAGTGTATTTCTAATATATTTAGTTGGGATTAGAGTATCCAATGTATTCAATCAAAGTAAGGCAACTGGGGGAAAAAAAAGGAGTCAGAAACGCTCAAACAAAAGAGATGAGAACAAAGGAGTCCATACAGAGCCTGGCTACTCCTTTTCTATCAGTTTGATCTAATAAATGACACTACTTCCCACAGAAGCCTTGCCTTATTTGCATCCTTAGGTCAGCACACTTACAACACTCCTTTTGAGAAGAGATGTGAGAGTGACTCACTGGCTGCTCTCAAGCCAATGTGGGAGTGATCTCACCTATCTGCCACCCATCACACTGGGTAGGACCTGGTTATTGAAACTCCTGCTGCTGCCTGGGCAGGAGGACAGCAAATTCCAGCAGCAGCCAGTGCCTGTGTTCCCAGGGAATGCACCAGTCCCTCCTGCTTAAACAAGCAGCTTGAAGAACCAGCATGTACAAGACAAGCAGCCATGCACAGTTAAAGTTCAATGAATCCTGCACAAGTAGCATCTCTAGAGTTGTGAGAGTGTTGAAGCATGTCTGGATCTGAAAGCAAACTAATCTACCTGCTAGGTTTACAAGAAAATGTTAATTTTGGTAAAATAATAAATTCAGACTCATAGCCTTATCCTGTCATTAGTTTTATTCCCTTAAAAAATATCCACCTTTTATCTCTGTCAATGTTCAAGTCATTAGGGAAAACTGTGGAAGTCAATATTACTGAATGTCATGATGCACAGCAAATATCATGAGAGTAGTTTAATGATAGCAATTAAACACTAAAAATATTGAAATACTTTTAATTAAAAAAAAAAATCAATGTATTAAACCATTTTGAGATAGAATAATCAATCTATTTACATAAAGTCTGTATTTTACTGAAGCAGAAAGCACCAGAAAGACTTTTACAATTAATTTTTAAAAGCCTAAGCATATATGAAAAAAAGGGACTAGTAAAGAGAAATAAATATCAAAAAGGGAAAAAATATAAATAGATGCAGAAAAACTTGAGCACAAACCAAGCAAATTACAGTAGTTACCTTCTTACAGATACATCCATACCCACTAAAACAGTCTGAAAGACTAATCTTATATCTATGCTTTACTTGATGCTTGTATGGTGCATTGTATGGTTTAACCCACAATTTTCAATACCTTGATTCACAGTGTCTGCACATCATATATTGGAAACAACATTCCTCCTTGTGCCTGGGGATGGAATTTCATTGCAGTTTGGGAGGGGGACATTCTATACAGGTCTTCCTGGTCCTCCTACACACCAGAGGCTCTGCTCTGTGCAAGACATTGCTTAATTAGTGTCACTCTCCCTTTCCTAACATTTCCCTGGTATTTCACAACAATTGAATGTTACCTGCAAGCCCAACTGAAACATTTAAATTTTTTAAACAAGTTATTTTATTAATTTCAAACCACACTCATTATCTCAGTATTTTTTTTTAGTATCCTGCTTATTTTATTTAACCTTTTTCGTGTTACCCACTGATATTTTATAAAACTGTCAATGTTTCTGTGGCATCATCCTTTACTCCACTGCACAAAGCCAGCGAGCAAATCATTCCCACAAAGTTCTGCATAACACAAGTGGTGTTATTTGAGAAACCAGTTATGAGTTAAGTTTGTATGGCAGCTTGTACAGAAAGATGATTATTAAAAAACATTTTCATAGGAACTCCAACAACCAGTGGTGAAAAGCAGCATTATGGTTTGTAGTTCTGTATTTTCTAATTATATCCTCCCACATACTAAGGAAGTGTATCCATTCTTTATGGAAAGGTAAATAAACCCCTAGATAAACTTTACATTAGTCTTGTAAACAAGACTATAACCAGGTTTTATTATGGTATTCATAAGTACACAATGTTCCACAAAAGAAAACTCATTTTGAATAGATACACGCAATCCTTTTGATTTGTGTTTGCAGATGTTGCAGGAAACCAAACAGAACTAAAAGAGAACAAAATATTACTAAAATTACACACACACATATATATAACATTTCCCTAGAGTGGCAATCAGTATTTTCAAAAGGTTGTTCAAAATTTGAATGCTTGAACAATATAAAAAAAAGAATAACTTAGAAAAGTAGAATATTAGCTTAATTCTACCCATTCATCCTTAAACCTTGTGGCACCATTTTAGATGACTTCCACTTTTAACGCA